CTGATACCTGTGACCTTCCTTGCGGCAGTTCCAGCACAACAAAAAAAAAGGCTTCGATATCGCCTTCTTTATCGGATTCCGATTCTGGAGGCATCTCCTGTTCTGGACTAAATTCCGAGACTTCACGTTTGAAAGGGGAAGATTTGAAATAACCCTGACAACGTCTAACCTCAGCCAAAAACGCTTCACGCCTGCGACAAATCTCCCTCAGTTCTGAAACTGATTGAATTTCGATATTCAAAATTTCATGTCTAATTTCGGGACGAAGATTGTTTCGGAGAACCCGAATGAGCTTGTGAGGCATCCAAGGCTGTTCTAATTGATCGATTAGACTTGAAATGGTGTCATAGAAACTATCAAAAGTTTCGATCGGCTTTTGTTTGGTGTTCCTAATCAACTCCTCAAGATCACCATCATCCCTACTCGGTCGAAACTGTAGACGCAAGGCTGAACAAAAGCTATCCCATCGGACTTCACCATAAGCTTTGTGACATCGCCAATAGAATTCATTGGCTTTCCCTTCGAAAAGAACGCTAGCATTCCTACAAAGTACAGTGAAATTATTGCCTAACGTCTCCTTAGTTAATGCTTCAACGCGGTAAATAAAATTGTCCACTGACACTCCTACACCGGAAAATTTTATTTTCCAGCCGTTCAAAATATGAACTACTTTATATGGTCGATTTAATAAATCTGCATCGGCACTTCGTAGCGACGCAGGAGAACACGGAGCTAAAATCTCTTGCCTAGAATTCACCCCGGTATCTTCTCATGTATCGATCCTATTGAAACCACTTCCAAACTGTTGACTCAGCTCGCTTGGGGTTCTATTAGCACCTTGATCGGACATTATCCTTGACATAGCTTCAGAAACGGACTTTTGAATTGAACTGGCCATACTTTCGGTAAGCGTAGCTAGTAATCTTCGCTCCATGGCTAGTAAAGTGATGGCATGTTCAGTGATAACACTTGGAATAGTATCACCGCTGTTAATGGTATTGGAATTGTATCCTGACGAAGGAGCTATATCATCTGATACTTGTTTGTCCGCGTTATCAGCGGGCTGACGGTTCTTCGATTGGCTACGAGTTTGTCGACTATCCGCACTCTTTGGGAGAGTTGGCCTACAGGAAGCTTTGCACACCGGACATAGTTTACTTTTCTTCCAATGCGATTCTATGCATCGCTTGTGAAATTCATGTTGACATGATGTAAGGCAGACCTCTACTAGGTATACTTCGGCCTTGCATATCGGACAGACGATGTTTGCGCCCCTTTCTGCAACCCTTTCCGGAGATCGGTCTATCCCCATCATACACACGGACGATAAAAAAATAGTTTTAGCAAATCAAATCTATATAAACGGTAAGATAATATTTTCCTCAAAAATATCAGCGGTACGAGAGTAGTTTCAGTGATAAAATATCAGCGGTACGATAGTAGTTTGAGTTATAAGATATAAGAGATACGATAATAGGTAAACAAAATTTTTAATCTTTGAAACAAACGGAAAAAAAATCGGAATAACGTAATAAGGAAATATTAACTGAACTCTTTGCTTGATGCTCTACGTCGAAGAGTATTTTTATTATTATAATTTTATTATAATAATTTCTCAGAAATTAGAAAATAAAAGACGAAAAAAAGAAAGAAGTTTTATACTTTATATGGACTTGGTCAGCGGATTGTTCTAGAACATACTCGCTTGTACTCCAACTCCGGATTAAAAGAATATAAATCCTCTAGTCCCAAGAAGGGAAAAAAAATTTGGTTCATAATATCTTTCTGGATATGGCACTGCTCGTGAGTAATGCCAATATTTTCCGTATAGAGAAGTATACTTGTATGTACTAATTTAATTTCATAAGGGTGATTAGCTCAATGACTCGGCATTTGATTCCGGGACAGAAAATTTACCTAGTTCTGGTTTATGCCTCTGTTTTCCTCAGATCAAGACACCTTGTCCTTTCTGCTATTTAAAGAAAAAAATTCTCTCGTTAATTCATAATTTTCGGACAGTCAAAAATACTAATAGTCACTCGAACTGTTTTCCAGGAACAATTAAAAATTTAAGAAAATATTTTAAAAAGAATAAAGAATAATGTTAAAGACTTAAATTTATGCATCTGTGAGTCTCAATGAATTAAACTGTATTTATTAAGACATACACGTTTGGGTGCCTCTTTTCTTATTAATAATAATCAATTATAACTGTAGCGTGTAACGTTCGACTAAAGTGCAAAGTACTTTAATGTTTTCAAGGATCTGTATTGGCTGGGCACGCTAAATATTCCGGCTATAGCTCGTCGGCTTGGGGGGTGGAGGTCTTGCTCGTACAGATCTTGACACTGTCTACGTATTACTATTAATAAAAACCGAATTGAGCGTGCATGCGACCATATCAAAAGCTAGATACTTAACCGGAAGAAAAGATGCATAAATTAGGAAAGAAAAGTTTTGAGAAATTATTGAAAGGGGACAGGGTAAAAGAAAGAGAGAGAAATTTGTTGTTTGCGACGCCGTAGATGTAATTTGGGTCGCATATTACCCATCCTACCTATGACCACCTGCCGCTAGAGCATAACTCTGGTGATCCCTTTTATACCCTACGACCGCAGAGACATCAGCTGAGTCCAGTTATTTAGTTTTCTTTAAGCTTTCATTTTAATGTTTAATTCAATTGCAAGTAACATATTTAATCTTTCTTAGATAATTTACGAAAGGGAGAAACAATTTCGGCGAGAAAAGATAAAATATAATACGCGTTAAACCTCATGGGTAAATACTGGGCTTCACAGGTGTATATAATTGTTGATGTAAAGTACATATGTATAGTAAAAATAGTTAAAAATAAGTATAGGGTATATTAAACAAAATGATCTTTAAAAATAAATAAATAGTTTTATGTTCAAAGGAAATTCAATAATTTGTTTTTTTTTATGATTACTTATATGCATTCTAAATTCATCATTCATCAGTGGTTCGATAGTTAATTACTTGTAATTTTATTTAAAATTAATTATTTTTGTTTTTTTCAATGAAAAAAAATTCTCAGTGTAAATTAATTTTTTGGTTCAATTCATTTTCTTTTCCATAGTTAATTTTAGAAGTAATGGCTTTCTTAAATTTTCGGCATTGATATGTATATATATTTTTTTTGTTTATGAGAATTTAATTGGCACAGATATTTTAGTTTTTTAGTAATTTGAAATAAAGGTAAAACAACTCACACAGCTGGTTCCTCGGCGGACGATCGATCTTTCGACGAGGGCAGGCTGAAAAAGAAATCAAGGCATTCCAGCTTTGACATGGTTATTATTTTATATAATAAAATAATATAATATAATATATTTTTATATATATAATATACTTTTGCAGGGAGATAGGAACCGTAAATTAACCGCGCACTAGATGAATCATAACTTAATTTAAATCTTATAAATGTTTAATTAGATTAAATTTTTTTTTTTCATAACATAATTATTGTCACTTCAATATTCAATCGCATTCTTTTAATACATTTTTTTTTTTTTTTTTTTTGATTTACGTTAACACATGGTTAGGAATTTCTGGAATTTGGCTGATATGCACGTGAACATTTTTCGCAAGCTGGATTTTTTTTTTAGGTTACAAATGAGGTTAAGATCGAGCCCAAGCGTAGTTTTTAAATTTTTTCAAATTTGAATTTGGGTTAGGGCCGATCTAATTGGACATTTTTTTTCCCTAGCCCATATGCTTATTTGGCCGAGATAATTCCTCGTTAAGTTAAATGAGAGTGCTCCCTGCTCCTGCTGATCACTGAACAAAATTTGGGGTACTCCCTAAGGCACTGCGGTTTGGCAAAGGTGGGTGCTCCTCAGGGCGGATCCGAATCGCTGGACAGCGTGGGTGCTCCTCCGGGCGGATCCGAATTGCTGTGCAGCGTGGGTGCTCCACAGGCAGATCCGGATCGCTGGGCAGCGTGGGTGCTCCACAGGGCAGGTTTGGACTGCCGGCCGATGTGGGTGCTCCCCGGAACGTTGGCGAAAGTTAACTGGGCCCCTTGCACATGCGCTTGTGATGGTATGCCGTGGCGGCGGTGGCGGCCGTATCGGGAAACGTAAAATTTCAGCCTTTTAAAAGAAATCGAAAATTCAGCATTTGAAAATATTTAGCGAGAAAACCCACACAACTCACTTCTTTGTTTGAATTCTTCGCGGGAAAAATCACTTTGCAAGAACTTCGAAATACCGCGTGTAAATTTTTTTCACCACTTTGCCGAATGGGAACGAATAAATTTCACACGTCTGACTGGAACGCCGGTTTAATTAAGAGGAAGTTCAAAAACTATGCGGCGTCGGTTTCGGCTTCTTCCAGAAATTTCTGCCAGCTGAAAAATCCGCCATTTCGGCTTAGGACAAGCTTCTCAGCAACAGCTGATCGTGGAACTATCTGGCATCACCCGCAAAAATACTAATTAGTATTTTTTTTGCTAAACACTACTCTCCAAAGGTCTCTAAATACAAAAATAAGCGCCAGTTTTCAAGCCAAAACAAACAAACGTTCTTCAGGCGCCGCTACATAGATTATTACAAAGAACCCGAAAGAGTTCACGCAGGCCAAAATTTGAGGTACATCTTGGCAAGATGGTAGTTGCGGGTTGGTCTAAAAGGCACCTTAAAAGTTAAGCGGCTTACCAATTCTATGGAATCAATATTACCTTTGACATATCACCTTTCCAAGCATGATTATACGATTTACAAGAGTAGGTAAATTTAGCAATATTAATCTTCTAGAGTAAGAAGGCAACCATACGTTTTGATCCCAGTTCAAACCACGAAGCGCGAAATAAGAAACTTGTTTGTACCGACTCAAGTTTCATGCAGATAGCTTTAAAACGGAGAGACTAGTTTGCGTAGAAACAGACGGACAGACCGACATGGCTAGATCGACTCTGCTAGTGATGCTGATCAAGAATATATGTACTTTATTGGGTCGGAAATGTCTCCTTCACTGCGTTGCAAACTTCTGACTGAAATTATAATAATAATTATAATTCAAAAAGTTGTTAAAATTGTTTGTAGGTTATAAACTAGTAGATAAACCGACTTTAAATAAAAAAAATATGAGTGGTATTTCCAAAATTTTTGATATTATATACTATATTATTATTTTTAATATTATATAGTATATAGTTGAACGTTGATGTACAATAAACAGTGCAAATAGTGGCCCAACGAAACCAAGCACGAGCTTGTTATGCGCTGGGCAGTTATCGAGTTCGCGAGGAAAACACAAATAACATAATGTAGAGACATTTATAAGAAAAACAAAAACTAGGTACGGTGCAATAATGTTACAACTGTAGTTTTTGGGAAAGAGATAGAGGTTGAAATTCAAATTTGATTATTATGATGATTATAATTATTACAAAAGCACGAAAGGGTTCATGCAGGCCAAAATCTGAGGTACATCTTGGCAAGAGAATGGTAGTTGGGTTGGTCTAAAAGGCACATTAAAAGTTAAGCGGCTTACCAATTTTATGGAGTCTATATCACCTTTGACAAGATTGTGTATAAAAATAGTTCCAAGCATGATTCTACGATTTACAGGAGAAGGTAAATTAAGCAATAGTAATCTACTAGAGTAAGAAGGCAATTTTACGTTTCGATCCCAGTTTAAACCACGAAGCTCGAAAAGAACACATTTTTTTGTACCGACTCTAAACAATCAATGTGTACATGATTTTGGAGACACCAAACGGGATCACAATATTCCGAATTTGGACGGGCAAGGGAAGTAAATAATAATTTAGTTGTATAAGGATCGTCAAATTCTTTAGACCATCGCTTAATAAATCCAAGCACACTCATAACCTTGTTAACAGTAGACTTTATGTGACAGTCCAATTTTAAATTTGGGTCAAGAAGAACTCCTAAGACGTTGACCGAATATATACGTTCCAGTGGCATATTATCAAGAGAAAAGTTTATAAATGAAGGCGTACCTTTATAAAAAGTCATTACGTTACATTTAAACGTAATTATTATACAGGGTGCACCATCTCAAACTTCGGTATACAAACACTGAATAGCTGTGACGTTTGTGAAGCGATTGACTTGTGTAGTTACGTTTTCGAAACGACAATTCAGTACAATTTGAACCATGAATAACTTAACACCAAAAGAACGTATCAAGGTGGTGACTTTGTTTATCGAAAATGGGCGTTCAATAGTGAAAACGCAGAGTGCGTGAAAACTGGGTTTTTAAAAATAACCCTCTGAGTTCCAAAACCATGTTGATAGGGTAATATTAGTGAGGAACACAAAAGTTGCAAATGAGAAGTAACAATACGCTCAAATGCATTATGTATTGCATACAATTACGAAATGCCTCTATAATTTTGAACATCCAACTTTCTCCCCTTTTATGGAGTAGAATAATAAAAGAATCATTCCAGATAATTTGAAAAACTGATGTTGAGGTAGACAATCGAAACAGTTTAAAAATCGGTTTACAAATAGTTGAGGCACAAAACTTAATTACGCACCCAGGAGTCTCGTTCGGCCCTGAAGAGTATGTTAGTGTTGTGGTCTCCAAATCCTGTAGAAGAGAGCTTTCTGTAATTACCGGGGAAAAATAAAATTTGAGCTGTTTAAATTGTAAGGGTAAGCTGAATTTAGACAAGAATCCGAACTATAGGTAGTTTGGAAGAACTTGGCAAATAAATCAGCAATTTCAGTGTCAGTAGACTCCTCAGTTGAGTTTAATCGTACTAATGAAGGCAAGGCGGAATTTTTTCGCTTGACATTTACAAAGTTATAAAATTGCTTCAGATTATTTGAAAATTCTGTTTTACACCGGTTAAAATACATAAAATAGCATTGACTGTTAGGAACACTAAAATTCAATGGAGCAACAACATATTTCAAAAAATCAGATGGCTTTCCCGTCCTTTTGTATTTTAAGTAAGTGTTTTTTTTTAAGTCTTTGAAGCTCTTGTGTAAGCCACGGAGGTATGTTATGTCTTGTAGGAAGATTGTCAGGGACATTAAAAAATGTGTGTTTAAAATTATGTAGAAAAATTCAGTGGTACTTTTCATATCCATTCAATTGTATAAGTTTGACCAGTTGCATTTGGAAATCAAGTAGCTCAGCTTATTAATTTTGCATTTGCGGGAGCATTTCGTTTTAGTTTCACAAACTAAATAAGAATAGGTATCACGGCAGGGCAGGAATATTGTCACTTCCATTTTGTCAATCACACTAAAACCAATACCAGATCTGATTGCCTATTTAAAAAGTTACTGATAAAGCTGATTTTTTGTGATGATAGGTCTAAAAGTCATGATCCGACAAAGGCGTGCAAACAAGAGAGTCGATAGGAGATGACCAAGATATATCTGGGAAACTAAAATCTCCCAAAACAATCAAATGATTCCTGTCAGAAAGTAGAGATAGAACAGATTTATTGGCAGGTTAAATATGATGTTTATGTTCATAAACTAAAATGTCAGACCCATGGGGGATATAAGAACAGGTTACAAAATTAGACAAGGCATGTAAAGAAACTAATACACTAAAAACTTCTATTTCATTGGGGTAATCAGTCAGTTAACAGCAATAACCACCCTACCTCCCCTACGAGTAACGCGATCAGTTCTATAAGTGTTAAAGTTGTTTGAAAAAACTTCGGAGTTGGAGACCTCCGGCTTCAGCCAAGATTCTGTGAAGAATAAAATTTGTTCATTAAAGGGTAAGAGTCAGCGTAGAACTTAGGTAACTTCATATTGATTTCCCATACATTTTTATAAGCTAGAAATATAGAAGGGTTCAGTTTGTTTGAACAGACTCAAAAATCGGAGGCCGATTATTATTTCTTTGTATTTTAGGAACAAATTCTTTTGTTATTAGTTCATCATCAGGCCAAAAACTTGTATTATTTAGAACCTTAAAAGTTTTTAGAGGAACAGATATTTTAAAAGAAGAAAACTTGCGAGCGTATGAATATTTAAATTGTTCAACTGTAATGTTTCGAGATGGGTATTTTTCTTGAAAAAACCCCATAACATCATCAGATGTGGTTACGGTAGTAAATCGAGAAACAAATAATTGTTTCCTATGGGGAACAACTGAAAGTTTCTTTTTACCACCACCAACACCGTGAACACTTAAAACATTTTTACTCATATTGGCAAGCCACAGCGAAGGCCTAAAATAAATCCACAACGGCGTGGGAGGTCCACGAATAATACAAATCAAGCGTCGAACCACGACTATTAGGAAAGCCCCAGTGGACGCTTGGTACGAAAAAAAAAACCAAAAACAACAACACATCGGCGAGGGGACCGCGGACACGTAAGAAGCGTAATTCACAGCAGAGTTAGCTTTAGATGGAAGAGTTTCAACATAAATTCAACAGAGTATTGCAAAAAGCACAAGATTTCTGAGAAGCAGCAGCAAAGAAAGGAGTAGGACCACAGCCATTGACAATTGAGGAATACAAGGCCCGACAAATAAGGTCAAAACCAACTCAAGAGAAGAAAAAATCCAAAAGATCTAGAAAAAAAGCAGCAAAGGCCGCAAATTAAAGAATTTAATAGGCTTATCAACCTATCAACAAGGGAATCTTCAATTTAGAAAAGTATTAAAAAAAAGGGTGTTGTTGTCTTAATACAACTACCAAGCCTTTGTAATTTTTGAAATATTTGTAATTTATTTTATATTTTACTTATTTATTATACATTTTATTTTATTAAATATTTACCTTTTATAATTAATTTTACATACCGAAAAAACTTTTAGTTAACAAATATTTTAATATTTAGAAAAACTCTTACTTCGACCTCGTTTCGAACTCGCGACCGCTCACACCATGGAGCAACGCTCTAAGCCACTCGACCATGCCTGCTTCTTAAAACGCGAGTCTTAAAGAATGTTCGAGTATTCTCAACTAATTGGATTGGCAATATACAAAGTAAGTGACTCCATGACTCCCCTGATTTTAATCAGGGGAGATTTTCTGAAAGTTTTGGCGATTTTATTTTTTTGAGTCTAAGATCAACAAACAATTCAGCTAGGCTGGAATCAGCAAAGCTATCGAAATAATTTATCCCGTGTGTCACAAGACCAAAAAATCAAACTGTCCTAGAAATTCTGCGACAAAACGACGGATCATTGCATGCTCCTCGTGTTTCATGATGTCTTTTCCAAATGAGTGGAATTGTTTCCGCTGCGGAAGGACAGGTCCAGAAGGACTTTTGATACTGGCATACAATTTACCAGCTGAAATTTTCGAAGTGGGACTGTGCGCAATAAGTAAAAAGAGAAAAAATGCTAAATTAATTCACAATGCCGGGGAAAAACTAAAAAAGACCTATAGCATAAGTGCAGAAAATCAGTCCTTATGAGGTATTAAAATCGGATAAGATGATTAATTGATCAGTTTGAAAAGCCGTTTAAAAACAATCATTGTTTTGAAGTTTTAACTCACCCGCCGTTCTTTTTTATAAGTCGTAAAGTACGAGACGTTAAGACGTTAGTACGAAAAATGTATCCTTTGATGCATTGCAAGCTACTGTTTAAAATTTGAATCATCATTGTACGGGTATAAAAAAAAAACCGGTTCGATTTCGACCCGGTACTTGTCACTTTTAACGGCTGAGTTAAAAAACTTACTTTTATATCCTTTAGGGCTATAATATCATTTGCGGTGGTGCTATTTATGATAGCTGGTTTTTTTTTAATGCTTGGAAAAATTATTCTTTCTTTTCGAATAGTTGATTTTGATCCACTGATTGATGTCTCGGTATTGTAAGTGACGTTAGTGCTCATTAACGTTGAATGTAATTGATCCAGCATTAAATTTCCAGTTGAGGAAGTAAAAAGTGTAGGTAATATAGTGGTCGCTATAGATGGTTCAACGTAAGAAATTGACGACGATAAATTGGCTTCATTTGTTGTTTCATTAATACCAGGGTTGCTAAAAGAATTTGGTTAAGCAATGAGTTTAAAAAAACCAAAGAAAATATACTTATTTGAGTCATATTCCAATAAACTTCGGTTCGTTTGGTTTGGTGTAAGCTCCGAGGGCTCAGGCAGTTTAGCTAATATTTGAACATAATTTTCTTGTTTTTTTAACCGTTTTTCCACCTTGTCTAAGTTATTGATTATCAAGTTGGTTTTCGTTTTAAGATCTTGATGGATTTCATCAATTGCACGTTCTTGGCGTTGAGTTTGTGTCAAAAGAGCAGCGGACTTTGGAAGAAGATTATCCACAGTTGATTTTGTGTCAACCACGACGTCCCAAACTTCATCTATTTTTTCAGATACTGCATTCATTGGCTGTATTTGTTTAACTAGAACATTAAGTTTGCTTGATTTTATCAATTGCTTCTCTGTTGTTAAGTTTAAAGGTTTAAATTGTTTGTTACTATCCACTACAGCGAAATGAATCTCATGCATCATATTCATCATTCTCCCAATATTATCAGAAACAACATTTATGTGAAACTGTAATTTTTTATCAATGTTGTCAGCTGAATAGCGAAGATCGCTCAATTCGGATGATACTTGTGTCATAGCTTCAGAGCTCAACACTTTTGTAATGTCGCTTACATTTATTGTGACGGGCTTTTTCTCACTAGCCTCACCAGTGAAGTCTTCAACTTGTAAAAAGTTAGTATCTAGTTGCTCCTTAAGGACTTCAAGCTTATTATCTATATCAGTTACTTTACGATCCATTTTTAAAATTCGTTCGTTAAGTAAGTTTGAGGAATTTTGTCCCAGTTTTGTAGATTTGTTGAGAACGTCCAAATACTGAGCAGGAATATCAGGCACACCATTAGATATAGATTTCTTTATATTATCCAGCTGAGATATAATTTCATCTGTTTTTTCTATGTTGTTGACTACCCGATTTTGCAGCGCTTCCATATTTTGCTTTATTAGATCAACTGTTTTATCGAGATGATCAATTCGACTAAGTTTTCCTTCAAGGGTTGTAATAATAATTTCAAATATATTGATCAATTGTTGTTCTCTGCAATGAAAAGAAAGCAAAGGGAAAAATATATAAACACTCAATAATTTATACGATATTGAATTATTTCATTTTATTTTATTCAAATACAATATCAATTGTATAGATTAGACAATCAAAATACAAAAAAAAGGTACAATTGTATTTTATGAGCTCTTTTTTCGCAAACTGATACTAGACCAACAACAAAATAGTAACTCATCAGGAGTTATTCTTTCAATTTAGAGGTGTTCGTTAATTCAAAAGTTGTCAAAAATGTCTAAGAAAAGAAAAATAATTTTATAATGGGAATTTTTTTTAATCGTAAAAAAGGTAAACTTGCGATAAAACTTTTAGAGATTGACAAGTTATCAAAACTAAAAAATCAAACAATTTTTATAAACTTTAGGCTACTGTCTTTATTCAGCATAAGAAGGTTATGAGAAGGTTATAGTTGCAATAAAATTAAATACACCAATTAGTTTTTTTTCAAGTTAAATTGTATAATGTTAAATTACAGTAATTGAGGAAGCGTCTTAAGAATAAACAGTTGCCACTGCGGTTAAAAGTTTTCAAATTGGTTTGGTTATTTTTAATGAATTTTGAAACTAAAGGCATTTACTTTATCTTGTGTAATTAATAAAAACCAACCTATTTTTGTGTTTTTAGTGAAATTAATGTTTTGTGTAACCTTGATTTTTTACCTCCTATGTGCGTCTTCAATTTATTTTCCTAAGGTTTTACTTGTGTTCTCATAAAATTCCCCCAATGTTTCTTTTTAAATCTATTTATTAGAGTTTTAAGGTGATAAATGTGTTAAGCTTAGCTGCGGAAAGTTGCGGATACATTTGTAAACGAAAATATTCTAACAATCCTTCTCATTTTACTAAGGTCAGATTTGCCCAGAAACCCTCTGAGTCGCCTGTATCTTATATAGTTTTCAGTTGTCATTTAATTAATTCATAAAGTTTTAGTTCTTTTGGTTTTCTCAAAGGCTGAATCGCCTATCAGTGTGCGCTTCTCCGACTACTGAATTTGTATTTGAATTTTCTTATAAAGTTTTGGAGATCTTCCATGCGAACCATTTAAGCGAATCCATGTTTTTCTATACATTAACAAATGGTTAATAATAATAACAATATAAAAAATATATTTTTTAACGCAATAACAATAAAATGAAAAAGTTTTGAGCCAAAAAATAACAAAGTTATTAATATTGTGACCGATAAGCCACAAGTATAGTCGTCTTATATGATCAATTTTTTTATAATGCATTTATATTTTTTTTTTAAGGTTTTGCGAAAATTTCATAACGACATTCCGTTAGCTTCGCGAGTGTATTGTGATTAATTTGTGTTTAATAAATTGAATCATTTTAATGATTTTTTTTTTGTGGTGCATAATATCGGAGTTAAACGTTGTTACGCTCCCGCTCTTACACTCTCCCACCGCTCTCTCTTAAAGTTCTTGAGCTTACGATTTTTGTCCTATATTTGCTCAGAGGTCCGAATAAACATGATTATGGCTATCAATGTTCGGCGTTATATATGTTCGAAGGAAAATTGCAAGAAATTTATCTTGGCTGGACTGCAACGAGTTTTCTGCCATTTATGCGAAAAAACTTTTCATGCCAAGTGTCTTGTCTTTTCTATTGTGGCTTGCGACGCAGTCAAAAAGAAAAGTGGCTTACGCTACTACTGAAATGAGTGCATTGCAGATAGGAGACTTACAATAATATGTGTTGCCGAAGTAATCCGTAAATGCAGTGCTCGAATCGCCCTATGCTATCGCAGCTCAATTCCCCCAAGCGCAAAATAGCCAAGCGTATTTTATTTATGCTAGGAATGTATCCTCATTTAAGATTTGTGCTCAGCCACTTTCTGTGAAAGAGTACGAAGCAAAAAAAATGAATAGTTTAAGGGAAATGGGAAATCCCGTTAAAAAGCCATCCCCAGCGCCTTCTACTTCCGCTTCTAACTCAAAAAACTAGCCTCCTCATTTCTTCTGTCCTATCAAAATACAAGAGGCTTACTTTATAAGCTGTCTAAATTGTACTCTGATAGTTTTTTATCCCATATTGTGTTTACAGAAACTTGTTTAAAACCGGAGATTCTAAGCTCCGAAGTTTTTACGGGTAAGTACACAATTTATAGGCTTGATCGTACTTTCAGACAAGGAGGGGGAGTCTTAAGTGCTGTTAACTATAATCTCACGTCTGAATTACCAACTTTTAATGAAAGTAATGACATAAAATGGTTGGATATAAAATTATCGTTCCCCATTAGTTTTATATATATTATTTGCTATATATCCCGCCATCATCTGAGTTCCCAATTTATGCGACCACCGTTACACAGTCCATTTGTTATAAACTGTCAGACAGAGATCAGTTAATAATTTTAAGTGCTTTCATATACCTAATGCGACTTAATCCCCGGACGAAAAATCAAATAGTTTACTTTCCTGAGCGCAGCATGACTTTATTCGACATTGCGCATTCTCAAGTTAACCATGTTCAAAAGTCTTTAGGGCGCTTACTGGATTTGTGTTTTGTGTTAAATTCAGAAGGCTTTTATGTTTTAAGAACTTTGTTACTTACGCATCCTATCATTAGAGCTGACTATTGATGCAGGAACAGAGTTAAAGGAAAATTTTGGAAAGACTGTGAAACGAATACACTGCTTTCGTAACACAAACTTTGGTCGCTAAAATTCTTGACTGGTCTGAAGTTTATTCCTACACTAAAATTACTGAGGACATTAATATCTTTTATTACGCATTGAACTCCTTCTTTCAAAAGTGTGTTCTGTTAAAGTTATCCGTCTATAAAACTCTATGGCTTATTAAAGAATTCTCACGTCTAAAAAATGTTAAGTCCAGACTTTATAATGAATATAAAGCGTGTGGTTCACAAGTCGCAAGTCCAGTCAATATTTACCATGCTTAACGCCCAGTGTTATAATGGCTATTTAACTCGTGGTAGGATCCAGTTTTCACAAGATTCAAAACAGATTTTAAATTTGGTAACGCTAAGCGTAAGTCAACCTCTTAACTAGCATCGCTATCGTTGGAAAATTCCAACGTTCCAATCAGGCAAATTAAGTCTAACTTAATTTTTGGTCAGAATTGAAGTGAAAACTCCGTTCTCGTTGATCTGCAAAGGCTAAAGCCAACTTTTCGAAAACATTATTACCCCCCACTTGCAACATCTATGCAGGTCGATTATATCCCCAACACGGGTTAAAAGTCGTGGGACTACGACAACAAACCTCTTGGAACTAACTTCTTTCGTTATAAATGGCTTCAGAATTAACCTTCAGACTGACGTTGTTTACACTGACTTTAGTAAATCGTTGGATTCTGTAGTTTTAACAAAGTATCTTGTCCTTATGTACGCAGATGACGACAAGTTATGCCTGCAACATAGCGATATTTCCCTCTGTTCAGATTTACAAACGAACCTTAGTGCTTTTCAAACATGGTGTAAAAGTAATGACATTTTATCGGGTCAACCCACATTATGGCACTTATACGTTAGGTGGTTGTGATGACTAGAATTAGACATATTGATGACCTTGGCGTCCTTTTGGACCCAAAACTTAAATTGTTTTTTACAAGAAATTTGTAAATCACCGAAACACCGGACTAGAGAGTTTCATTCAACGAGTGAATGAGTCGTTTGGGGGGTCACGCCGAAGGTTCTCATGGACGCCGGGAGAGAGAGTGATGTCGAAGTTGCTCGCGTCGTATCTTACTCCGGAGTTAAAAATCCAACGGGCTGGACCTTGGGGCGAGGCCAAGCCAGGCGAACGATTTCACGTGGGTGGGAACGCCAAGTGATCTCACTGGTTACTTCCACGATTGGGGCGCGTAAGTCGTTTTCCGAAGGCCAAAAATCCACCGAACTGGACCTTCGGGCGAGGCCAAGCCGGGAGAGTATTTTGCGAGAGTGGGACCGGTGGGTGACGTCACTGATCGGTTCGGTAATCCAGGCGCGCAAGTCGTTTTCCACGTGTCGGAGGACACAAATCCACTGGGCTGGATTGGCGAGGCCAAGCCGGGTAGAATTTGTCGGACGTGGGGGGATTGAAGGGAAAAGGATGACGGTATGATTGACCAGTCGGGAATGATGTCCGCAACCAAGTCACATGCACGGGTGTCCGCGTACCGATCGCAAGCGCTTTTGAGGAGGGAAGCAAGGATACTAGATCAGGTGTCCGCGTAAAGGTCACAAATACTACGGGGAGGGAAGCTAGGATACTTGACCAGACGGGTCTTTTGTCCGCGTACAGCTAGGGGAAGCTAGGATACTAGACCAGACGGGCCGGGTGTCCGCGTACAGGTCACATGCACTGCGAGGAGAGAAGCTACTGATCGACAACGAATAAAAAATCACAAACGAGGGATTTCACTTTCACTTATTTTCTTTATTTTTTGCTAGATTGCTTTATTTATCTAATACCCTCCTACGAGTCCGCTACACTGTCTTTACTTAACGGAGAGGAATATTATGAACACTAACCTCAAAACACTGATCAGCCTACTTATTCACTTTCCGCGTGCCGTCGCGCGGTCGAGGCGTTACTTCGGATTACACAAAAAATTACTGCGGAAGATACGTCCGTACCGCTTACCATTCCGACACAAGAGACCGCCAACTCGATCGTTGTATGACCACCTTCCCCACGCTCTATTTTTCTCGCGTTCGAGATTTCTGATATATTCCTTACTTTCTAGTATTTTCTATTAACTTACTTACTAACTTTAATTGTTACTTAAATATTTATATTTTTTTCATTATTTTGTTGTTGGTTTTCAGTCCAAGCGCGTATAAACCAACAAATTGTATATGTATAATTAGCATACGTTAATACTTATTTCAATATTTTACGATTTTATATACATTTGGTTTTTGCACCAAAAATATGTCTATCGTGTAATTAACCCTAAATAATTGTTACTTTATTATGTAATACATTTTAACGTACCTTGTTGTTGCTTTTCTGGTCTATTTAATAGTA